TGTTCTTGGTTAAAAGCTGTGAATCAAGTTTGATTACAGCTTCATGTATGTTTGTTCTTGTTTAAAAGCTGTGAATCAAGTTTGATTAGAAGCTTCATGTATGTTTGTTCTTGTTTAAAAGCTGTGAATCAAGTTTGATTACAGCTTCATGTATGTTTGTTCTTGTTAAAAGCTGTGAATCAAGTTTGATTACAGGTAGATATTGAAAATGTTTTGCAATAGTTCAAGCTTAAGCTTTACGAACACACACACACACACTAGTCATCTTAACACTAAACATTTGCAGTCACAGTAACAAAACAGATAACTTCACTATTATAGTATTAGTGTTTCAACAAGGTAAGTGAAGTTGTTTTTTTTTCAACTGAATTTTTTTTCTTCTCTTAACCACCTAATGTTTCTGTGATAAATTATAAAACAATATGTCTAAGTTTAATTTCCAAATTCACGTAAGTAATCTATGTCAAATGGTTATATTAAAACTTAGTGACATAACTATATTATAATTTTGTTTCTTTACTGGTTATTAAGCAACAAAGTTACACAATGGGCTGTCTATGCTTCAAATTTCGAAACCCGATTTTTAGAGTTATAAGCCCCCAGACTTACCGCCCGGCTATTGGGTATCATACTATAATCTGAGAAGAACAGTAATATACCGAACATTATCAAAAGCACCTTGCGACTATCTTGAGACATGGAACATAAAAGCTACAAGTTAATGTACATATTCATGATAATTGGTTTTCGTACAAGCCCTGACGAATCAGCAATGGCGAAACGTAGATTTGAAATAAGAGTTTTTAAAATTATCTGGAAAGTAGAATTTTTTTAACTTTATTGTTGACATCTTAGATTTCTCCAGCATGCACTACAAATTCTGAAAACTATTTTCTTTGATACTTTTCTCGTCTATTGTGTATTATAGATAATTGCAATACGCGTTTAGCGCCTGACAACAATATATACACGTACGAACTTGTGTGACGTATTATATTTGAAAATGTGGTGTTAAATACGTATAATTTCTGGAGGTTTTTTTTTCGACATACCCATAACAATCTTCCCTAAATTCAAGATTCGTTGCTATTTCCATTAGCAATTGGCATAAGTATAGTATACGAGAGGAAACTACATTAAGATGTTAGCAAGTTTACACATTATATACAAGTTATAAATTAATAGTAGTTACGTATTGTTAATGTATACGACAATTACATACGTTAATATATATATATATATAACTGGTGTGTGGTCTGTTTGAGATCACGATAATAAAAGTAATTTACATTGTGCTTATATATATCTACGAATTTATATTACTCTGACGTGTGCTTCACACAGACCACAACTTAATACCCGTTTCTAATACCTTTTTTACAAAATGTAACAAAAAAATTCAAAGTTTGTAATATAAATTTAAAAGGTTTATAGGAATGAAAATATAGTAGTTACAGTTTAAATGGCGTAGTCTTGGTAGGAAATTCGGCTCCAGGAAAAGTAGCAAGACTATGCTTCGCTTTTCTTCTTATCCAAAGGGTACAAGTTTTGTAACAGAAAATATCAATACTTGTAAATAATGATGGGTCATTTGCTGTGGACATACTAATTATAATGGCAAAATGATACTATATAACAAATTGTATCAAAAAGATTCACCTGTGAACACGAGTAAGAAAATTGTTTTATTGTATATTAGTGGTGTAAGAAAGAGATGCAAAGTGGGGTGCTTGGTTAGACATGCAGATTTTACAACAAGAGATTAAAGTACAAAGAGCTGTTTTTAGCTGCTCCCGTGCTCTAAGGGGGTCTGGGAGCATGTCCCCGGAAAATTAATACGATAATATAGTTTACAGTTGCTATAAAAGTCAAAATGGAGTGTGGGAGAAGATTATAAACCCCTTGTACACCGCCACCGTGTGCATGATTGTAGTGGTCAATTACTACACTAGTGTGTGTGTGTGTGTGTGTGTGTGTGTTCGAGAGTACCGAGTTCAGAAGCAAACAATCTTTTTCAAGACTACTCCCATGCCTTTTGTGATAGCTTATAATTGTTACGCCTCCAGTCGTTCGTTAATTTTCCGTAAATTCGTTCCGACGAAACTTTAGCGACACAAGCCCTGTCTTAAATAAAACTGGCTTATTCTTTTGAATACAACTTTACGATACACTTACTAGTCACGTGACCTCGCTGACCCAACATAATGTTAAACAGTCGTTTTCAAGATCGTTTCACCATTTCTTTGTGACACTATCTATTTGGCAAGTTATCGCAGCCACTTACTTTTATTCTTTATATATATTATCCGTTACTAGCAGAGACCAGTAAAACATCTGCGGTCAAATTAGTGTCTATTGTAACAGTACTTCTTTAAATACACGATTTCTAGAATAATACAAAAATTCTAATCGCAGACACCGAAATCTACAAGCCCACTTGTCTTAGGCCTAACATAAGTAAAGCCTTTATTAAGTATGACCTATATTCGATAAAGGGATAAATTAACACTAACTTGCGTACGTTTTTTTTTTTTTGTCATGGTTTAGTTATGGCTAAACTTTACAGAATTTAATACTATCAATAAATAAATTTATAATGTTATTCTACAACCTGATGTCAGACATTTTTAAAAACTTTGATAAGTTTTTGATATTTTTTTATTGAAAATGTGTACTAAAGTATCTTTACATTCGTTAAAATGAAGTGCGCGCTTTGACAAAAACTGAGTATTATCAGTACATAGGTACACGTTCGTAGACAGTTTAAAATGTAGATATCCGGTGAAGTTATTTGCGTACATTAAGCATTTGTATAGGCGTAAAATATTGTTATGGACCAAATAAAGTAATAATGCATCATAATCTTTTCGAGTGAGAAAATCAGCACAATCAAATATTTCATTACTTATCAGCTGATAAACAAGCGTGATGTTTAGGTTTAACCTCACTTGCAAGTAGCCTTCTCTGATAGTAAATTAACATTGTTGTATTTTGTTCTACTGCTGAGCGGGTTTTGTTGGATTATTTAGTAAAAATAATGCTAAATACAATTCACGTAATGAAAACGAATTTATTTCTTCAATAACGTTTGCTACAGGCTATTTTCACTGGTATGCCCAATTTCACGAGGGACGTTTCAACAGAAATTCAGAGAGTAACGTTTGCCTAATTTACTTGCAAAAATTCCTCGTAAATCAATCAATAACAAACACGCTGTTTAACTAACTTGCTAACCTTATTACGGATGAAAAGGGGCAATAACTCATTAACAGACTGGCATTTTTATATTGTACTATTTTTTTTACATATTACAGGAAGCTTTTAGGTGTTTCATCATCATTACATGCTCTCTTAGAAAACAAAGATATAGATATAGCCCACAACAATATTAATGTATCATTATACTGCAGTTCAAATAGGATCCAGCGACATTATTTGTCTGCTTCCAGGGAGTAACCCAGTAGGAGAAACATGGTACGTTAGAAATGTTAAGGTAAACAGAACAAACCTGGAGTTTCATATAATACAGTAGTTAATACTAAATACACACGACATTATTCTAAGTA